GTGTGGTCTATTATGCTAATGAGTTCCTGCTGGGCTTTTTCTACAAAAAGAGCCCTGGGCCTCCCCGGCATCTCCAGTTGAATGGACAAGGGAGCCAGTGATGGACCAGGTGGTTTGATTCAGTATAAAGCAGTTTTATGGTTCATAATTTAAGAATGGGCAGGGACAGTGTCTCCGTCTCCAGCTTACGGTGCCCAAGGGATGGCCTAGCTCCCTGGATGGAGTTTTATTTTTGGCAGGAGAGCCATTTGGAAGAGGGGATGGAGGTTGCTGGGCCAAAATCCCATTCATTTCCCTCCCGGGGGGGGGGCTGCCCCAAAAGTCCTGTTGCCCCCACAGCCCCTCCTTCCACGCGTCCCTTTTTGCAGCTTGAAGACCAGGTGGTGGTGGTGGTCAGTGTTCCCTCTAAGCTGAGTTAGTGTGAGCTAGCTCACAGTTTTTTAGCCTCCGGGTGCCCAAGGGATGGCCTAGCTCCCTGGATGGAGTTTTATTTTTGGCAGGAGAGCCATTTGGAAGAGGGGATGGAGGTTGCTGGGCCAGAATCCCATTCATTTCCCTCCGGGGGGGAGCTGCCCCAAAAGCGTCCCTTTTTGCTGCTTGAAGACCAGGTGGTGGTGGTGGTGGTGGTTCTCCGGGGAGCAGACTTGGCCCTGGGGCTTCTAACGGCTGATCCCTAATCTCTTCCCAGGTTCCATCCGGTCTGGGAGGCTGACCGCCCCCCTGCCCATTCTCTTCTTTTGCACGGGGCCTTTATGGGCGGAAATGGGGAAGACCACACAGGCCGGGGGGGGGGCAAAGTTGAGTCCATCTCAGACGTGGGCTTCTGCCATTCGGGTGGTCCCTGCCTGACATCCAGGGTCTCCCATCACTACTTCCAGGTGGTGGGAGGGAGAAAGGAACGCCGGCTTGGCAGGCAGGCAGCCCCCCTCGTGGACTTCGTCTCCGGCGCTCGCTTTGCCCGGTCCACGCCGGCCTCCTCTTCCTGTCTCCCCCGAACATCTGTGGCTGCGTCAGCAGCAGGAGGCCGGGGGACGTAGGCCGCTTCCTCTCGACTTGCGAAAGCGGCCTGGAAGCTGCGCCGGTCCCGTCCCCTCTCCCCCTCCCCTCCCGCCAATCTCTTTTCCTCCCGGCCTTTAGCGGAGGTGAGGGGTGAAGTGGCAGTTTCCTCCGCAGCCTGCCACGGTCAGCCCCCGGGTTAAAGAGAGGAGGAAATAACAAAGTTGTTGTGCTCGCAGTCACGCTCCGAGGGGTGTTGGCAGGCCTCAGGGCCTCAGGGCCGCAAGCAGCGGGGTCAGCTTCCGCAGGGGAGGGGGGGGCCGGCCCCGGCTCCGTTTGGTGTGCGCTGAGGCCTTGTGGGGTTTTCTGCTCTCTTGGTCCTCTTCTCTCCGCCACCCCACCCCAGTTTGGGCCCAGCAGCCATTGCACCCCACCCAGAGGAGACCGACGCTCCCTCTAAGCTGTGGAGTCTTGTGAGCAAACACTCTACCTTGTGACCCGCTGGCATGAAAGTTGTGAGCGAGCCACGACTGTATCGGTTAGTTTGCTCTGGAGCCCTCCTTCCTGAGCTGAGACAAAAGTGTGTGAGCCAGAGGCTAAAAGAACTGTGAGCTGGCTCACACTAACTCGGCTTAGAGGAAACACTGGTGGTGACTGTTCCATGCCGATGATGGCTGGAAGGCATCCAACTGCAAGAGTCCTCCCAGCTGGATCCGACCAGTGGTCCGTCTGACCCAGCATCCTGTTTCACTGAGCAGCCAACTAGTTGCCCTGGAGGGCCACCGATGTTCCTTCCTGGTACTGCTCTTCAGAGATCAACTGCCTCTGGACAGGGACGTTCTCTTTAGTTATCTTGGCTCGTAGTCATTGGCTGTCCTGTCCTCTATCCGTCTGCCTCCTGCCCTTTGGAAACCGTCTGTGCCAGGGGCAGCGGAAGCCCAAATGTCATTCGTCGTTTCTTTTGTCCATCCTGAACAGCAGAGTGGGTGTCTGGTGTCCTCTCTGGACCCTGCCGGTGGCCACAGAGGGAATGGGAGTCTCTCGCTTGGGGGCAATGAAATGCCTTGAAAAAGCCCTGACTTTTCAGGTCCTCATTAAATGGACTCTGTTTCTTAGCTGTCGTGGATGTGTTGCTGCTGGGCGTGGCCAACTTGGGAGCCAGCCGGAACTCCGTTCCTGTGCGTTCCTGCCCAAAAATAGCCCTGCTCAGAGGTATAACACAGAAAGACAGAGTACTCTCTGTGTCAAGTTGAGAAGAAAAATGGTAGGCAGGTAATTTATAGGTAGTGTAGGGCCGAGTCATTCTCATGTAGGAGTTCCCCAGGCTGTGAAAACATGCTAATGGAGGAGCTTTCCTGAGGAGGTTCTTTTGCATGTTCTGTTTCTGTTGGCAGCCGAACCCACCCGTGACCCTGGTGTTAGAGGATGAGAACTGCTGGATCGCCAAGCTGCCTTCGGTTTCCGGAGAAGGAGAGGCTAATGTGGTGATCTACAAAAAGGGTTGGTATTTGCACGGGGGCCTCTTTCCTGGGGTGTTGGGGCATGGGGGGGGAGAAAGGTGGGAGGTGTTAATGTATTCTGTGGGGCCTTGAAAAGGGCTAAGGGAAGTCCTTCTTCAGGATAGTCTGGAGTTCTCCGTCCCTTTCCGTCTCCTTTCCGCAAACAGAGGTTCCCTCCTATTCCCTCTGATTAAGTCTGCCCTGGGTTTGTATAACTCCCAAATGCCTGAATTCGGGGCTTTTTGACCGTAGTGGCTGGAAGCGATATCCCTACGGATATGGCAATTCTTTAGAATATTTTTTATCTTGCCCGAGGCACGTAGCGGCAGAAGTCAAACAACAAAATAAAACACAATGAGTCCACTTAAAAATAATTCGGAAAATCCCAGCAATAAATTCTCAGCTTTTGATAATACAGACAGTGGGCAGGCTGTAGAGAGAGAGGTGTTAAGATACAGAACGGCATCTAAAAGTCTGGGTGAAAAGAAAGGGTTTCACCTGTCGCCCAAATGGCAGACGAATGTCAAGGCATTCCACAGCCAAGGAGCCACCACTGAGCAAGCCCCGTCCCTAGCCACCGCTTGCCCCTGGTTTCCTTGTGAGGGCCCCGTTAGCAGAGGTGGCAGTGGTGGTCTTCATTGGAGGGCAGGACAGAAGAGGAGACGGTAGTCCTTTAGGGTAGCTCGGTCCCAAGCTGCGAGGGCTTTACAGGTGAGCAACAGTGCGTGAGACAAATGGGCAGCCATCTTTCAGCTGCAGACTGATGTGATCCTGACTGGCCCCAAATCACCCAGCAGGCTTCTGGTCTTTGTTGGTATGTGTCCCCCTGCAGACTTAAGCAGACTTAAATGGAGAGCTCCCTACTCCCAAGGAGCTGGCAATCCAAAACGCATAAGGGAGAAACACAACATGGGATGGGGGGAGACAGGGGTGGGGGAACGGGCACCGCTCTGGGTGTTTACAACTTGGCTACTGTTGAGAATGAGGGGGGGGGAAGGAACAAACCTCCCCTATGAAAAGGTGGGCCGTAAGGAGGGATGGAGGGGGATATGTGTTCAGGGAGGGGGCTGCATATCTGGGAGGGGGGAATACAAGGAAGAGACCTTTGGGGGCTGCAGGTGGCAGAGCAACATTCAGCAGGGAGAGGTTGGGAAGAAAACAGCCACTCACTGATGAATGCATGGGCTGATGCTGCCTCCTAGAGGCGAATGCGTGTATTGCATGTTCTAACCCTCGTCTGGCTTGCTCCTTCTCTGCCCCTCCCTTTCTCCAAGGTGTCCACAGCCACACTTCATACCTACCACAGCCTTGCAAGGTAGGCTTGGCAGTGAGGCTCAGCCTAGGGCACTCAAAACATGCACTCCCAGTAATAAGAATTTTATTACTTGAGCATCTCTCTCTCTCTCTCTCTCTCCCTCTCCCTTATCTCTCCTTATATATAATTCTGTTTTGGTCATGGACTCCCCTGAACATTCCAACACGCTCCCAAATCAGTTGGCTCCCTGATCTGTCAGAGGGTCTCCCTATCCACTGGCTGTGTTGCCTGAGTCCTGCCTCCAACATTCTAAACAATTTGCTGTTCCTCTCCCCCCACCATAGCCAGTCAGAACACAGAGGTTATTTGCATATGTGGCCTGATTGGCCTTTGCCTCGGGATACAGAGGTCGTTTGCATATGTGACCTCATTGGCCTTTGCCTCTAACATTCTAAACAGTTTGCTGTTGCTGTTCTGAGGTAAAATACATTTCCCCTTAATGCCTGTTGGGGGAAACCATTGTTGCCAATCTCCAGGTGAGGGTGAAGATCACTCAGAATTACAACTGCTTTCCAGATGGCAGAGATCAGTTCCCCTGGAGAAAATGGTGGACTCTGTGTCCTTATATCCTGCTGAGATGGCCCCTGTGATGTAGCAGTCAGGGCTTCAGAGCACGGTAGAGGCTGCAGGTGGGGGGATGGAAATCTGAAGAGTGAGGAGAAAATAAAGGTAGGTTGGTGCTTGGCTAGGAAGGAGATAGGGTGGCCAACTCCAGGTGGGAAATTCCTGGAGATTTGAGGTATGGAGCCTGGAGAGGGTGAGGTTTCAGGAGGGGTTGGACCTCAGACAGGTACAATGCCATAGACTCCACCCTCCAAACCAGCCATTCCCTCCTGGGGAACCATTGTTGCCAATCTCCAGGTGAGGGCTGGAAATCACTCAAAATTACATCTTTTATTCAGGTAACAGAGATCAGTTCCTCTGGAGAAAATGGTGGACTCGGTGTCATTATACCCTGCTGAGGTCACCACAGCAAATTGACACTGAGTGCCCAAGGCCGGGACACCCGCCCAGAGCCTCTTTCTAGAGCTCGTTGTATTTATTTCCACAACGAGCCTTATTCCTAGTACATAAATATATTGATGAACCCAAAAAGAATTGCAAAGGGAGAGGGTGTCTGTTGTGGGGGAGAGGAACAGAAGGTGATTGTAAGCCTCTCTGAGACTCCTAGTGAAGGGCGGGATATAAAACCAATCTCTTCTTCTTCTTCATTTGCCTCTCCCTCCTCACATGGTTATGGGCTTTGCACATGAGTGTGGTCTCATGATCACAGATATCTCGGTTCACAAATCCAGAGGAGTTAGCGTGTTAGTCTGTTGTTGCAAAACAGCAAAAAGTCCTTTGGCACCTTTAAGACTAACAAACTTTATTGTGGCATAATCTTTCAAGATGCATGCATCTGACGAAGAGAGTTGTGTTTCTCGAAATCTTGTGCTACAATAAAGTTTTGTAAGTAAGGTGCTACTGGACTTTTTGCTGTTTTCACTATCTCAGTCGTATGTATTCAGACGACCCGATGGTGCTCTCACACACGATTCCCCCTCCTTGCCCCCAACTGCTCTTTTCTCGAAATCTTGTGCTACAATAAAGTTTTGTTAGTAAGGTGCTACTGGACTTTTTGCTATTTTCGATCTCTCACTCCTATGTATTCACACGGACCGGATGGTGCTGTGCCCACTCTCACACGCAAGATTCCCCCTCCTTGCCCCCAACTGCTCTCGCCTCGCCTTTCTACCCCTTTTGACGTGGCTCTGCAGTTGCCCAGTGACCTCAAAGCGACACCTCTTATCATCCCTCAGACGATGCGATCTGGTGCAAGACCGCCAAGGCCATCCCAGAGGGAGAACCCCTGAAGGTGTTCGTCATGGCTGAGCCGATGGGCATCCCCAACCACGCGGTGAAATCGGAGCCCGGGGACCTGGCTTGCCCGGCAGTTCTGCCCTCTGAAATACAACTCCTCCCACAGCAGGCGGGCATGGCTGCTATCCTGGCGACGGCCGTTGTGAACAGTACGTATGCAGCAGGTTATCGAAGGGAAGATGGCGCAGGATAGCTCAGTCTTGGAAGCGAAGCAGGGTTGGTACTTGATGAGAGACCAAATACAACTCCTCCCACAGCAGGCGGGCATGGCTGCTATCCTGGCCACGGCCATTGTGAACAGTACGTATGCAGCAGGTCATCGAAGGGAAGGTGGCGCAGGATAGCTCAGTCTTGGAAGTGAAGCAGGGTTGGTACTTGATGAGAGACCCCCGAGGAAGGCCACCTCACTTGCCTTGAAAGCCCCCCCTTGCAGGGGTCGCCCTAGGTCAGTTGCGACTTGATGGCACTTGGGTATGTAGCAGATCATCCCAGATTGGAAGCCCCCAGGTCCTCGTGTTGCTAGCGGGTTGAGAAGGTGCCGACGGTTAGGGGTCTGAGAAAGTCGCACTTGGGCTGGGGCAGAAAAAGAGAACCCTTGTGATGTAGAAGGGGGAGTGGCCCTTTCACGTCACTCCCGGTGACACAGGATCGGGGCGTGGCCAACACAAATAATGTCCGGTGGCATAACAGGGGGCGTGGCCTACTCACACGGCACTTCTGCTGCTGTGGTGGGTGTGGCCTGATATGCAAGTCGCCTGATTGATATGCGAGGCAAACTCTCTTGCTACTGCTTTGTTCTCACTGTGCCTTTCGGTCCCCTCTCCCCCTCACCCCGGTTTTCCTTCCCTCCTTCCTTCCTTCCTTCCAGAGGACGTCTTTCCTTGCAAAGACTGCGGCATTTGGTACCGCAGCGAGCGTAACCTGCAGGCCCACCTCATGTACTACTGCGCCAGCCGCCAGAACGTTGTGTCGCCCGCGGTGGACGAGAAGCCGAAGGAGGCCTACCCCAACGAGCGGGTCTGCCCCTTCCCCCAGTGCAAGAAGAGCTGCCCCAGCGCCAGCTCCCTGGAAATCCACATGCGCAGCCACAGTGGTACGAGGAGGAGGCTGAATGGTCTTTGGTTCAGGGTGGCACCGAGGGGGGCGCTCCCTGGCTTGGGGGGTGGAAGAGGAAAGGAGGTCCCGTGGCTGGTGGGTTGAGAAGGGGGGGGGTTTGGGGTGCCCGACCTCACCGTGGGCTCTTTGCACCGGGCTTCTCTTCCAGGGGAGAGGCCTTTTGTCTGCCTGATCTGCTTCTCGGCCTTCACCACAAAAGCCAACTGTGAGCGTCACCTGAAGGTTCACACCGACACGCTGAACGGTAGGCCCCTGTGTGGGACCCAAGCGGGGCATTTCGCAGACAGGAGACCCGGAAGGGTTTATATGTGGAGAGCCGGGAGCTGCACAGAATGTGGCTCACAGCCCTCGGGGCGGGGGAGTCGGGGCCTTGGTCAGTAGCGTGTGCTTGTGCATCCGGCTCAGTTGGGGGCGCAGGAGGACTGTTTGGGGTGCCCTCCGTGCAGTGGGCTCAGCTGCCTGCTAATTTGGTTGTAGTGGTTAGGAGCACAGGCTCTAATCTGGGAGAACCGGGTTTGATTCCCCATTGCTCCTCCACATGCAGCCAGCTGGTGTGACCTTGGGCCAGTCACAAGTCCTCTCAGAGCTGTCCTCTCAGGAGCAGTTCTCTCGGAGCTCTCTCAGCCCCACCTCCCTCACAGGGTGCCTGTTGTGGGGCGGGGAAGGGAAAGGGATTGTCAGCCGCCCTGAGACTCCTTCAGGTAGTGAAGGGTGGGGTATAAATCCAATCTCCTCCTCTTCCTCCTCCTGTGTGGGGTTCAGGTGTGCAGGCGACCCCTTGTGCTTCCCTTCTGTGGTTTCCATCGAGCTCCACCTCTTGGAGACGGACTCATCGCCCAGGGCTGGCTCTGCGAGGCAGAATGTCCCAGCTCGGTCCTCAGCTCTTCCAGAGGAAAGGGTCGCAAGTGGCTGGGAAGCACCAGGGGCGTCGTGACAAAGACTCCCTCTTCACTCCAGGCAGATCCACCCCAGGCCACACGTTAAAGGTGGCTTGCCCAGCTCCAGGGGTTGGGTCGGGGCCCAGAGAAGAAGAAGAAGAGATTGGGTTTATACCCCGCCCTTCTTCACTCCCCAAGGGAGTCTCACGGCTCACAAACAACTCCTTTCCCTTCCCCTTCCCCTCAACAGACACCCTGTGAGGTAGGTGGGGCCAAGAGAGCTCTGACAGCTATGCCAAAACTATGGCTTGCCCAAGGTCATCCAGCAGGTGCAAGTGGAGGAGTGGGGAATCAAACCCAGTTCTCCCAAATTACAGTCCGTGCACTTAACCACTACACCAAAAGAGCTCACAAACTCCTCTCCCTTCCCCTCCCCACAACAGACACCCTGTGAGGTGGGTGGGGCTGAGAGAGCTCTGACAGAAACGGCTCTTGAGAGAACACCTCTGAGAGAACTTGTGACTGACCCCAGGTCATCCAGCCAGGTGCAAGTGGAGGAGTGGGGAATCAAACCCAGTTCTCCCAGATCAGAGTCCGCGCACTTAACCACGACACCAAACGGGCTCAAGATGACCTTGGCCTGGGACCTCACTGTGGTCCGACTCGGCCTGAGGCGGCTTCCTCAGCTCACGCTCCGTGCTCTCTGTCTCCCCCTGCTGCCCTCAGGAATCTGCCACAGCTGCGGCTTCATCTCCACCACCCGAGACATCCTCTACAGCCACCTGGTGACCAACCACATGATCTGCCAGCCGGGCTCCAAGGGAGAGGTCTATTCCCCGGGCTCCTCGGTCCCAGCCACGAAAACGCTCACCCCAGGTAAGTCAGCCTCTCCTGAGCTTGATGGATCGGAGGCGTGTGGACCGTACGTCTTGGCCATTTCGGTCCAGGCACGCTCCAGTTTCTAGCTCTGCAGTGGTCCCGCAGACTTGAACTACCCGATGAGAACTGTGTCCCGCGTGGGAGAAAGATTTGCTCCTCCGAGCCCTGCCTTTCCTGACGCCTCCCCTCTCCCCGCAGGTCTGAGCACGCCGGGCCCGGCCCCCACGCTCAAGTGCACCTTCTGCGGCTATGTGGCTGACAGTTTGCCCGGCCTTCAACAGCACGTGGTTTTGCACAGCGCCCCGGCAGCGGTTCTGCCCGCCTCAGAGCCCAAAGCGGCCCCAAACCGGCCACAGACACCCGCCAAGCTGGTGAAGGTGCCCCCTGCTGAGGAAGCAGAGGGTGGCTCCCCGCCGCAAGAAGGAAGTTCCGCAGCCCTCGTGAGCGACGCGGCTCCTTCAGTGCGGGTCAAGGAGGAGCCTCTAGATGAGGGGGAAGGCCCCACGCAGATCTCCCCAGCGGGATCGGCCACCGCCCTGGAGCCAGAGCCCAACGCCTCCTCGAGAACGTCTTCTCCACACAGCCTGCCGCCCGTGAAGGTGAAATCTGAGATGGCCAGCCCCACGCCCGGGTCCAGCCCGGTGCCCAGCGAGTCCGGGTCGGGCACGTCGGGGGGCACGATCTTCCTGCCGCAGTATGTGTTTGGCCACGAGGCCACCGTGGTCCCCCAGGCGTCGGAGATATTGGCGAAGATGTCGGAACTGGTGCACAGCCGCCTGAAGCAGGGCCACGGCGGCGTGCCTCCCACCCTCTTCCCGGGCACCCCAGTGCCCAAGGGGGCCACATGCTTCGAGTGCGAGATCACGTTCAACAACATCAACAACTACTACGTCCACAAGCGGCTGTATTGCTCCAGCCGCCGCGTGGCGGAGGAGAGCCCGCCCGGACCCCGCAAGCTGAAAGCTGCCCCGGCCTCCGCCCCGAAAGGCCCCCCCGCCCCCGGGGTGCTCCTATCCCCCCCGGGTCCTGGAGAGAGTCAGGCAGGGCAGGAGGGGGAGACTGGGAGAGGCACCCCTCCACCCCTCCCCGAGGTCAAGCAAGAGATCAAGGTCGAGGAAGGCGGGGCGAAAGCCAGCCCCTCCCCGGAGGCCGACGGGGCCGGGCGCACGAGCGAGGACAGCCAGAGCCCCGGGGGCAGCTCCGTGGAGGAGCCCGACGACGACCCCAGCCGGACGGTGTGCGAAGCCTGCAACATCCGCTTCAGCCGTCACGAGACCTACATGGTTCACAAGCGCTACTACTGCGCGTCCCGCCATGACCCGCCTCTGCGCCGGAGCAGCACCGCCGGCAAGGTGCCCTTCCTGCCGCAGCCAATCCGCACCCGCAAGCGGCGCAAGCTGTACGAGATCCACGGCACCGCCAGCCAGCCCGGCAGCACGTTGGACGTCCCACGCCCCGAGGCGCCCCCCGTGGTACCAGCCCTCATTGCCATGGTCAAGACCACCCCCTCGCCCAGTTCGAGCCCCGACGCCGAGGGACCCATCGACCTGAGCAAGAAACCTCGGCTGCATGGTGGGGACGTGCTGCCGGCCTCTCTGCTGCCCCTGGCGGACTACCACGAGTGCACGGCTTGCCGCATCAGTTTCCACAGCCTGGACAGCTACCTGGCCCACAAGAAGTACTACTGCCCGGCCACCCCTCTGCAGCCCGGCACGCTCGAGCAGCTGCAGAAGATCAAGGGGGCCGTCCCGCCCCTCCTGAAACCCCGGGGCAGCCCCGACCGGCTGAGCGAGGAGCACGACGGGGTGCCGGTCAAAGTGGAGAAGGCGGCGGCTTCCGTGAGCCCCGTGGCCCCGCCGGCCCCCTATCCCGGCCTGGACTCACTTCAGCAGCGCTACCTGGATGCCAAAGCCCTGCACCTCCACGCCGCCAAGGTGCCCCTGGCCGTGTGCCCCTACTGCCCGCTGAACGGGGCCGTCAAAGGGGACCTGGCCGAGCACTTCCGCAACGCCCACGGCCTCTTTGTCGCCAAAACCGTGCCTGGTGCCACGTTGATCGAGGCCGCGCGGACGCTGGCCGAGAGCAGTTTGCTCCCCCCCCTCCCCGCCGCCTCCCCGCCACAGCCCCTCCCTCGGTTGCGCAAGGACAGCTTCAACGGCAAAGAGGCCTCCGTCCCGTCGGTGTCCAACGGGAGCCCGCGGCCCACCGTCTCCCCCCAGCCCATCCTCCCCATCTCCCCTTCCCTCCCCTTGACCGTCTCCCCCCTGCCGGAGGCTCCTCCCCGCCCCCCTCCCGGGTATACGGACAAAAGTGTGCAGACCCCGCCCGGCAAAGGGCCCCCCGCCCCCGTCGCCAATGGCAACCACAGGTACTGTCGCCTGTGCAATATCAAATTCAGCAGCCTGTCGACTTTCATCGCCCACAAGAAGTATTACTGTTCTTCACACGCTGCTGAACACGTCAAATAGCACTTTGCCCGCCACCGTGGAAGCCCAGCTCCCCCGAGCAACCGGTCAAGGCGGACTCCTCGATGGCCGTGCCCCGAAATGCGGGAGGGCTGGCTCACAGAAGGGGGTGCGCGAGGGGATCCGGCTCTCCTGTTGAGGCTGACCAGGGATAGCCGAGTGACACGCAGGGTGGGGAGTGGGTGGGCCAAGAACCACAGGGAGGCCATGGCATGCCCGTTCTCCCAGTGAGGCTCGCCCCCGGACGTGGAAGCGCGGTGTCCGAACCGCACACCCATGCTCCCTCTAAGCTGTGGGGTCTTGTGAGCAGAAGTTCCACTTTGTGAGCTCCTGGCATGAAAGTTGTGAGCGAGCGATGCTGCATCAGTCAGTTTGCTCCGGAGCCATCCCATCCTGAGCTGAGACAAAAAGGTGTGAGCCGGAGGCTAAAAAACTGTGCGCTAGCTCACACTGAAGCAGCTTAGAGGGAACACTGCTGCACACGCCACCCCAGTCCTAGTCAGATGGAAGGTTCTTTCCCCCCCCCCTTCCCATCTGGGGAGTGGCCGGGGGGCACATGGCTTCAGCTCAGCCTAGGGTTTGGCCCTCTGTGCCCTGGGCAGCCTGGGTGTTTGAGAGAGCACGCAAGTCCCTGCGAGTTCAGCCAGAAACCAGGGCGAACCGCTCCGGGTGCGACTACCCAATGGGAGGCCCCTCCCTTCCTCTCTTTCCCCTCCTTTTCTTAATGCCCCTTCCAAAGCGGCCCCCTTTCTGCAGAGAGTCAGAGCCCCCCTCTTCCGCTTTCGGTTCCCCCCACTGCTTGCCTTCACCGGGTGGGCCCTCCAGGGGCAAGGGAAGGAGGAGACGCGTCCTTCCGCTCTGCTTTCGGGAACCACTCCGCTTTTGCTTCTGGTGGGGGACATGGCAGTGGCGGCCGCTCCCGGAGCTTGCTGGAGACGTTTTCATGGTGAGGGCGATGGGCCGGGGCGGTGTCACAGGCCACCCAAGGTGGGGGTGTGGAAGGCAGGGGCATAAATGTTTTAATTAATAAATCGAATAAGCAGGTTGGGCCGCAAACTGTGTGCAGAGACCCCCGCTTGCTGTACTGGAAGACGTAAGGCCCAGATCACGCAACGTGGTGCAGGTTAGTCTTGCCTCCCTGGACAACAGGTGCACTTAGCAGGGCTCGCTAAGACCCAGGAGCAGATCCTGACTGCAGAGGTGGGCTCGGGAGCTCCTTGTGGGGCGCAAGCAGGTGGCCCTCTCCTGTTCTCCCTTTTCTTTTCTCTCTTTGGTCCGGTTGTCACTTTCTGCCGAGCAGGGGGTGCTGCATCGGGTGTGCATCTCTCCCCCTTTCCTCCCCGAATCATTGTCCGGTGGGTTGATGTAGAATTGATGTGGACTGGAACAGAAATGCAAACGAGAGAGCACTGAAGAGGAGAACGAATTCTCCCCTCGGGAACCCATGTGTATACGCGTGTACATAAATAAATGTCTACGGAATCTGAGCTCCCGGTCTGCCTTTGCCTTTGTGGGGGGGGGGGGTAATGTCCGGGCAGGAAACAAGGGGCTCTTTCTTTCCCGTGATGTTCTGGCGGTGGTCGTGTGAATTCATCCACGCCGCATCATCAGCACATCAGCGTTTACCCCTCCTGAATCAGGCCCAGGGCCCACCTAGTTCAGCACCCTGCTTGGGATGCCTAGCAGGAGCTGCTAACAATATCCCTGCAGTGCTGTCCACTCCCCAGATCTGCCCATCAGAAATCAAGTGTCCCATTCAGCTATCACGATTCGTAGCCAGGGATAGACTTATCCTCTGTAAATGTGTCTAGCCCCCCCCCCCCTTTAAATCCATCTGAGCTATTGCTCAATAGCAGTTCAAGTGGCAGTGAGTACCACAAGTCAACTGCCCATTGTGTGAAGTACAGGCTCCTTTTGCCTGCCTTGAATCTACTGCCAACCAGTTACAAAGACTGATCCCAATTTCTGAAAGGACGGGAGGGAATTGGGAGTCGGGGGGGTTAGCTGTCGTATGGAATTGTGGTAGGACTCTTAATGGGACATTCCAAAGGTCTTGGCGAGAAATCAGCACAGAGGTAACGTCATGGTGGGATTGCTTTGTGGGTCTTTTGCCCCATACAGAGTAAAGGGGATTTATTTATTTATTAAATTTATACCCCTCCCTCCCCACAAAGGGCTCAGGGCGGCTTACAGATTGGGCACTTTGTGCCACTAAATAGACAGAATAAAACACAATAAAACACAAAAACAAGATCATTAACAAGTGCTTTAAGATGTTACACTAATAAAAAAGATGGTATTCGGCTGACGATGTTCAGATGATATTGTCTATATTCCAGAAAAACCGTACTGGTCCACCGCACTGCGGCAGTATGATCTTCCAGGGCCATTCCGTTCCCAGTTGTTTAAGGGATTTGTATCCAAGTGTGGACACCAACACAAACTCTGTTGCCTGTGATGGCTCCCAGAATTTGTGAGCAATACTAAGCTGTGGAGTCTTGTGAGCAAAAATTCTACTTTGTGAGCTACTGGCATGAAAGTTGTGAGCGAGCGATTTGGCTGCTGCATCAATGAGTTTGCTCTGGAGCCGTCCTTCCTGAGTGAAGACAAAAATGTGTGAGCCGGAGGCTAAAAAACTGAGCTAGCTCCACACACAACTTAGAGGGAACATTGTGAGGTGCATAAATGCTAGCCACAACTCTGTGAGAGAGCATCTGCTTTGCATCAATCACGGGTTCGATCCCCAGCAGCACCTCCAGTTAAAAAAGGGCCAGGCAGCAGGTGATGTGAAAGACCTCCGCTTGAGACCCTGGAGAGCTGTAAAGAGGGGCTGTGGCTCAGTGGTAGAGCATCTGCTTGGAGTGCAGGAAATCCCAGGTTCAATCCCCTGCATCACCCGCTAAAAGGACCAGGCAGGAGGTGATGGGAAAGACCTCCGCCTGAGACCCTGGTGAGCAGCTGCCAGTCTGAGCAGCCAATACTGACCATGATGGACCAAAAGATCTGATTCGGTATCGGGCAGCTTCCTGTGTGTTCATGCAAGTTTGCTAGACGGAGGCAGAAAGACTGGGAGAAAATGGCTCTTCAGTGGGACATGGGGAGGGGGGAGGAATATGTGGGAGGGGATGCCGCTGGTATGGGATCACTCCAGACACCAAAAAGCGGCAGGAAATCCCAAACCTGCAAGAAGGGAGTATTCCTGCCAAGATTCAGTGGCTGGGGAATTTGTCCTCTGTTACAGCATTGGCATTATATAGGTAAAAGGTTGTCAGTGTGGCTAGATGTAAATGAAAGTGGTAATACTGGTGGAATGGGACGCATTCCAAGGCAACCGTTGGGCTGCTGTGTATGCATACTCCGTCCTGGTTGGGATGCTTTCCAAGGTAATTATTAACATGGCCTTCTGCCTATTACTGGCGGCGTTCCATGCAGAAGAAGGCAAGGGTTGGTGGACTATTAAGACTGCTTGTAGTTTGCAGTTGTAGCCACTGGATGGTGCCAAAGCACTGCTGTTTGCATCAAACAGTCCATTCGAAGAGGAGAAGAGATTGGCTTTATACCCCGCCCTTCACTCGGAGTCTCAGAGCAGCTTACAAACTCCTTTCCCTCCCCCTCCCCGCAACAGACACCCCTGTGAGGTAGGTGGGGCTGAGAGAGCTCTTTCAAGAACTGCCCTTGAGAGAACAGCTCTGAAAGAACTTGTGACTGACCCAAGGTCATCTAACAGCGGCGTGTGGCGGAGTGGGGAATCAAACCCGGTTCTCCCAGATTAGAGTCCGCGCACTTAACCACGACACCAAATGGCTGTTTTTGCTGACGGAACCAATTGGGGTGATGTGGGAATAAGACTTCAGAATTAAGTCTTCATTGATTACACTCCAGAGACCTTAAATGGAGACACAACTCAGTCCCTAGACCTTGTTTTGCACAACAATATGTCCTCCCTAGAGCATTGGAAGTAAGAATGAAAGCACCTTGCGCATGTACAGAGGGCCTTTGCATTCTAATGAGTTTGGGTTTCCATATTGTTCTCCAGCAGGTTTGAGCCTTGGACTCTACACTAGAAAGGGGGTCTTCTGGGACCATGGCCCAGTTCAAATGGAAATCCAGGTGAGGTGGGGAACAGCAGTGACACTGTTCCATGCCACTGTTGCCCAGAGCAGGAAAGGGAACCAAGCTGCCACTGGCCACAATCCTACTCAACAGTCAGCATCCGTGTCCAGGAGCCCCTTTGAGCGGCTGAGGAGCAACATCTCGGCCTAGAGCAGTGATGGCGAACCTTTTAGAGGCCGCGTGCCCAAACTGCGACCCCAAACCCACTTCTTGATCGCAAAGTGCCAACACGTGAGGTGGGGAACAGCAGTGACACTGTTCCATGCCGCTGTTGCCCGGAGCAGGAAGGGGAACCAGGCTGCCACTGGCCACAATTCCACTCAACAGTCAGCATCCGTGTCCGGGAGCCCCTTTGAGCGGCTGAGGAGCAACACCTCGGCCTAGAGCAGTGATGGCGAACCTTTTAACACACGCTGCCCCCGACT